TCTGTGTCAAGATGCACAGTCATTTTGTGTGACAATAAATAAGGCAAAGTACTTTCTCAAATTAAATTCATCTCAAGAATTAAAGATTTTATTAGTTGCTGGTTGCCTACTCTCTGTTAAATGACAGTAATGTTATTGTAGTGTGCATGTCCATGATGGATTTCTCAGACTTTATCTCTTATTTCAGAAAAGAGCACAGAAAAGGAATTTACGCAGACCATTCTTGATGTAGAAGATCTTGTTAAAAGTGGCAACAAACACAAGTATAATTTGTCAATGGCAGTAGGTGTTTTCAGAAGATACTCCTTTTTAAAAATGTTTCTCTGAATACAAGGTTGCAGAGGGTATTGCCTTGGGGGCGGGGGGGGGAGCCCTTTACTATGTTGAGAAGACGTTGGTAGATGAGGCAAAATCCATTGTCTTTGAAAAACAGAACGTTGTGAAAAGACCATGGTTTGTATTTTATTCTTGTTATCCTGTTGGATACATCCATCATACTTCAGTGTGTCACATGGAAGTATTACATACGAAATGTATATGAGTAGAATTTTCCATTTTAAAGTATGGTGTTGAGTGTATTGGCTGGTGCCATTGCCCCAGATGAGAGATCTTGCGGAATCAAATGTTTCACATGTTATTCTCCCTTATCTACCCAAATGAGAGGTTGCGTAATTTACTTGGCAAATTATTGGAAGCTGAACCAGACCTTCTCACCTCTGGTGGGATTCTGTGGCTTGAAGGTTCTGGAACCCTTGTTTAAATGCCAGCTGAACATCACTTCATATGCTGCAAGCCAGGATCATCCCCTCAGCCTGTGGCATTCACTGTATAGAAACTCCAATGTCTGCCGAGAAATCTCGGGTGGCTCCGAGCTGTACTGCTGCCCTGCAGATGTTACTGGATGAAGCGACTGAAAGAAGACCTGCCCTGTTTCTGTGTGGACCACGTTAGGAGAGCATTGCTTCGGACCTGTTCAGCCTTGCTCGAGATCACACATTAGTGCCACAGGCCCCCATGACAGCAGTGCAGAAAAATAGCCAAAATCCTGCACACCGCAAGGGAAAGTGATGCCACCTCTCCTCTGTCGTCTCTTACTTACGCGGGTTGGGTCTAACTCTGACACTGCACAGGCATCTCACAAAACCACATGTCTACCAACCTCAGTATCACATGCATGATGTACATTCAAGGGCTCACACCCACTTCATGCCTGCCAAGTTACCAGCCCTTCCTGCGATGTGCACTTCCCACTCGGTGAGAACACTTCACCATGTGGTATGGAGTTTTTACCAGGAATGAAGATCCTCATCCCCTTTGAAGATAGGGCTATTACGCTGGCTGGGGAAGACTGGGAGCATTTCTCTGCTAATGTGAGGACGCCAGTGGGACAGCAACCATTAAACATTATTGTGCTCTGCTCCTTTTAGATGTGCACAAAGGCAATTATATTGTTCTTGCAGAAGCTATTCAGCATCTTTACCAGCCGATTCTTTCTCTTTTCTAAAGACACTGGTGGCGCCCAGGACTTCCAACTGTAAAAGACACCTGCGCCAAAGCCCCTCTATATCAGCACTGCCTCGACAGGAAGACTATGAACTCTGTGAGTGTGCACTGGTGAGATGTTCCCCTGCACCCCCCTCTAGCAAGCAGACTTCCACCTCACTATGTCCTCTATCTAGATTAGACCTGGGGCCACAATCTGGTGATTGTCAGGAGTATACTGTGTGACACTACCTGACTGCTTCAGGCATTGGAACCTAATCTTCAGGAGGCCTACAGACCTTTCCATAATGGTCATCAGGGAATTGTGGGCAGCCTTGTAATTTTGTGGCAGTTTGAGGAATCAACAGAGGTGTCACCTGCGAGATGTGGAAGACGAACAGTTGAAGGCCCAATCTTTTGTATACATTGAGGACCTTTAAAAAGAGGCTGGCACTTGACAGTGGTCCAGAATGAATGAGTCATAGCAGTTCCCTGGATATCCTGTACAGATGTGCAGTTGTTGACACAAATGAATTGCGTACTAAGGGAGCGGAATCCTTTTCTTTTTTGGACACTGCTGATGGCAAATTAGGTGCAATCGATTGCCCAATGCACCTGTGGGAAGCCAGTGATGGCTGAGAATCTTCATGTTCTCCTTGCCTTGCTCTGTGTGTCAAGGGGTAAAGAGAAGAATCGGTGAACTCTTGTGAAGAGAGCATCAGTGGCATTCCAGATGCAGTTCTGAAATAAAGACTGAAATGCCACAGAGGTCCACCTGAAAAAAAATCCACTGGCAAAGAAATTTAAAGCCAGCTGCTCCCTTTCGGGTGATCTAGATGGGATTGCCACCCAGTCCTTGTAGTGCAAGTCCTTATCCAGCAACTGGTATAGGTGTGACACGATAGATTGTGATGTCCTGAGTCGTCATCTGCACTAGCTCTGTAATTTTTACATAAATGTGTAGATCCTGATCAACACAAGAGCTCTCCTCTGGTAGTAGCTGTTGTTGTTACAGCTGCAGTTGTCTGTGTTGTCTTCTGTGGTTGTTCCTTTGCAGATGTAGGACCTCGAAGAGCTACTAGATTGACCTCTGCCTTTATTTCTTATCCTGCTGTCAGCAGGTTTGGATGCATTACACTCTGTCCCCTCCTCCAAGTCGTTAATGCAGTTGGTATATCATTGAGGCCCTAGAACTGTCTTGTGGCACTCAACTAATTATGTCTTTCCAACTTGAAAGAAAATTAATCTTGAGACTCTGACTTCTGTGTTAAGTAATTCTCAACCCATGTTAATACATTAGCCCCAAAACTCGGATCTCCTCTATTGTACAATAACATTTTATGTGGCTCCTTATGGAATATCTTCTGAAAATCCAGATACACTGTACTAACCTGCCCCACTTTATCTATTCTGCTTGTTACATCCTCAAACAGCTCCAGCAAATTTGTCAAAGTTCATTTTGCTTTCACAGCAGAATGTTGACATGTTGTGTTAAGCTTTTCGAAATGTCCTGTTCATTCTTTTTTAATAATGGATTTTTCTAATGAAGTAAATAGGCATTTTTCTAATGACGGATCTTAGGCTAACTGACCTGTAGTTTCCTGCTTGCTATCTCCCACCCTTCTTGAATAGGAGTGTCACATTAATGGTTTCCAATCTGCTCTATCCGTCCCCAAATCCAAAGAGTTCAGGAATATTTGAACCTATGCCTCCACTATCAGTGCAGCCACTTCCTTTAAACCCCTGGCTATAGGCCATCAGATCCGCACAACTTTTCTCCCTTCAATCCCACTGGTTTAACAAATTCTTTGTCCTTGTGATAGAGACCATTATAAGACCTTACCTTCCATTCACACCTTGCTTATCTGATGTAGAACATGGAACAGTACAGCACAAGAACAGGCCCTTCAGTCCACCGTGCCTGTGCTGACCATGATGCTATTCTGAACTGATCCCATCTGCCTGCACATAGTCTGTATCTTTCTATTCTCTATCTGTTCATGTGTCTGTCTAAATGCCTCTTAAATGTTGCTATGGTATCTGCTTCTACCACTTCCTCTGACAGCACATTCCAGACACCTACTACCCTCTGTGTAAAAGAAAACAAATTTCCTCTCGCGTCTCCTTTAAACCTTCAATCTGTCACCTTAAACCTATGCTCCCTAGTATTTGATATTTCTGTCGTGGGGAAGAGACTCCAACTATCCACCCTATCCATGCTTGTCATAATTTTATATACTTCTATCAGGTTGTCCCTCAGCCTCTGACACTAGTACAAACAATCCATGTTTGTCCAACCTCTCTCTATAGCTGATACACTTCAATCTAGGCAATATTCTGGCAAACCTCTTCTGTACTCTTTCCAAAGCTTCTACATCTTTCCTTTAGTGTGGAGACCGAAACTCTGTACAGTACTCAAAATGTGGCCTAACTGAAATTTCATACAGCTACAACATTACCTGACAACTTTATAGTTAATACCTCAGCCAATCCAAGACAAGCATGCCTATACTTTTCTTTACCACCTTGTCTACTTGTGTTGCCACGTTTGGGGAGCTGTGGGTAGATGAGTAATTGAGTGAATGTGCCTTGCTGCATTGGCTCTTGTTGTCCTGAGTGATCGCAAGGTGCCATTTGGGCACATTGTGCTCTCAATCAGTTCTTCATGGGAGCAGTTCAGAATTGGATGGGAGGAAAAGATATATTAATTGCCCTGTTCAGGCAGGTTATTTTCTAAACAACCTGTTCAGAGATGTTATCATGCACATTGGAAGCAGGTGGGATTTGAACCTGGGTTGCCAGGTCCAGAGGCAGGGATACTACCACACTGCCAGATTGACGCATCTCTGTGACAGGTTGGACTTTTAAAACTAAATATTCATCCAGGAGATGTTGGGTTTGCTCGTTGGGCCAGTGTTCATTGCAAATCCCTAACTGCCCTTAGGAAAGTGGTGGTGTGCTCCCTTCTTGAACTGCTGCAGTTCATCTGGTACAAGTGCACTCACAGTGCCATTAGAGAGGGAATTCAAGGATCTTGACTCAGTGATACTGAAGGAACAGCGATATATTTCCACATCAGGATGGTGGAGTGGCTTGGAGGGAAAATTGCAGGTGCTGGTGTTCCCAGGTATCTGCTGCTCTTGACCTTTTGCATGGTAAAGGTTGAGGTTTAGGAAGGTGCTGTCTAAGGAGCCTTGGTAAATTTCTGTTGTGCATTTGTAAATTATATGTTCTGCTGTTGCTGAGCATCAGTGGTCTAGATAATATTTGGATGTGATGCCAATCAGTGGCTGCTTTGTCTTGGATGGTGTCAGGTCTGTTGTGTTGTTAGAGTTTCACTTGCCCAGGCAAGTGAAGAGTATTCCAGCACACTCTTGTACCTTGAAGATAGTGGATGGGATTTGGGAAGTCCAGAGATGAGTTATCTACTGCAGAGCTTAATCTCTGACATACTGTAGCCACTGTATTGATATGGCTGGTGCAGTTTAGTTTCTGGCCAATGGTAATCTCTGGAATATTGACAAGAGGGAATTCAGTGATGGTAATCCCACTAAATTTCAAGGGGTGATGGTCATTGTCTGGCGCACCCTCTGCCCCCACAGGACCACCATTTTTAGGACCAGACTGACTTCTCCACTGATGTGGTGCTAGGACCCATCTCACTGCCTATCATGGTTCCTCATTGGAAAATATCTCAAATTATTCCCCATCACTATCACATTTCTCTCAGCCATTGAATAAGAGGAGGCCAATCCGCAAAATTCAACTAACTGTATCCTTG